GATTTTTACCATGCAAACAGGTATTATAATGATCTAAATCTAGTGCAAGAATCACTGAAAAATCATCTTAAGTTTTAAAAATATAACTGTCCGAATTTTGATTAGTCCGATATTTGATTGTTTACTCTAGCTATGAAATATGGAAGGTCTATATAAAAAATATGTATAGGTTATACACCGAGGTAGAGGTTTCTATGGTATTTATTAACCGAGCGACGCAGTCGCGAGGTTAATAAATGCCATAGAAACCGATACCGAGGTGTATAACCAACTTCTACCATGACACTTGAAAAACAACTACCAGCTGCTGATAATAAGACCACAGTTGACATACATACAACATATCTAACAGGCTAGGCCAGTAAAGAATCAACCAAACTTGACAAATGGACTAATAAGAGCATAAGCGTAGAGTACCAAACTGCCAATCAATTAATTATTTAACGAGATAGGTTTATATTTTTACGAGCTAGGTTAATATGAAAAATAATTGACCTCCAATACTGCAATCTGATTGGTCAATCGCAAGGTGGCATGGTAGAATATAAATTATACATTAATGATACTACATACATGTACAAACCTTGTGTACATCAATCTTAATTGTAGCCACTGAAGCTCCAGCAACATTAGAAGCATTACAATGATACGCTCCAGAATAAGAGGTAGTAATATTAGTAATATCCAGCCTGGTTGAGCCCTCAGTTATGTGAAACAGTGAATTATTAGTGATTACTGATCCAGCAAATGTCCACTGGATAGTAGCCTCAGGGTTCCCAGGATGATGTAACACACATCTCAGTGTTACACTAGAGCCATATAATACAGCAACATATGACACAAAAGCTGAAATATTTGGGACAATATAGTTCACTAAAATATAGAAAATCATACAAATATAATGTAAAAAGGCTTATGTACCATTAGTGCAGGTAATTCCTTGATAGCCAGTACCAGTACAATCACAGAAATAATTAGAAGGAGTTGAAACAAGTGTACAACTACCTCCATTCTGGCAAGGACTCAGTTCACATATATTTGTAATGGAGCAAGTACAAGTATCAGTATTGAGTACATAATTAGCTTCACATAGTAGAAAACATGCTGTAAAAAACAAACAAAAGAGGTATGAACTCACAAACTTAAAATTATAGACACTCCAATAATGTAATTCATGTATCCACATAAACATTTTACATACCTTCAGATGGCTTCAGGTCCAAGTTTCCAGTGTAAGAATAACCAATAAACTGTTGTAAGCCATACACCATTGCTAGTATCTTGTCATTACTGTTGTTAGACCAAACACTAACCTCACCGGTACCACTTAAACTATAACTGTTAAATACATAACACCCACCAACAGAACTATTGTAATGCTTCCATGAACTGGATGTGAGGGATGGAAGAACTGTGCCATTGAGTTGTATCTGTGATGAATCATCAGCAGCAAGTACAACAAGATTAACAGAAGTAGAAGCACCCAATAGACTAATGATTGGAAAACTAGTTACATTAGAAGCATATTGATGTAATGGAGGAATGATTGTCATAGCAGGATCACCATATGAAGTGAATGAAAAATCAGCAAACTGAGCAAGTGAGAACTGAGCTATAAGTATTGAACTAGTTGAATTAATGTAACAACTAGTTTGAGATATAGTTTGACTGAGTACATCATCTTCTTGAAGGGATAGTGAATAACTATTACCATTATCACATGTTATACCAATGCCTGTATTACTCTGTGATCCAATTAGTTTTATTATAACCAGTTTGACGATTATAAAATGACTGAACCAGGAACTCATTACCCCATGAGGCTACTGGTGGTATTTGTTCACCAACAAAATCACGAGCAAATTGACCAACAGGAATGAAACCACAAGTGTGACCAGAATAGACAGATATTGGATTACTTGACTCAACTTTTGTTCCAGTTAAATCAGCCCTTGCTGTAACTGGTTTGAGTAATAGTGTCTCCAGGTATTGTAATTGTATTGTTATTGATTGTCCAGCATTAAGACTGATCTGATTACCTGATGAGGTGAGACTAGATGGTATAGTAACAGTCACTGTTGGTGTGATTGTTATATTGGTATTATTATTACCAGAGACTATTAGAAGAGATGAGAATGAGGTTGATTCATCTGTACCAATAGACACAGCATAATACACATAACTATTGACTGGGTAAAACAAAGCTGGATAGTTGACATACATTCCTGCAGAATAATCACCAAAATGACTCATTGCTACAGTTACTGATATTTTCTTATTTGTTCCAGTTGTAACTAGTAAACCTTTATATTGACACGGTAAGATAATAATGTACTGCCACTGATGATTGCTGGTGTACCAGCAGTAACTGAACCATTAGCTATTGTTTGGGTGAGGTTACTGACTGTAAAGTTGACCGTTTCTGTTTCTGGGGTAGTGATGACAAGTGAGATGGATTGAGTGGTAAGCATTGGTAATATACCAACAACATGTGTACTGGCAGCTGTACTCCAATCATCTGTTAATAAAAACAAAGACAGATGTAAACATGCTTTTCTTTCAATGCATGAGATGATACTACAATTATATATAGACTATTAAGGCTAATGAGAAACTTAGATGAAGTAAAATAATGACATCTTGCTTTCTACTACCATCTAGCTACACCTCATCCCATAATATAGTTATACTTCAACTACTAAATCATTAGTTAACTCTTTAGATCTATACTTTTCTAATTATAGTAGATTATAAATTACCACTATTAGTTGAGCTGATTTTATTCTCATTCTCATGCTGCGGTGTACTGGAGGGACTCAATATTGGACCTAAAATAGTAAAAAATAGTAGTTTCTCAATTTTGTAGCATTACTTACTTTGAATTGAAAAATGAACTGAGTATGTGAGACACAAAAGCACAGCAAAAAGCATTTTGCCTCTTTGTTGGTAGATGTTTGTATTGAAGCTTTTTAAATAAGTTTAGTACCGGAAGTAACTATAAACAATTCATTATCCTTTTAAACAAATAATAATGTTCAATTTATTACAGTGCCAAGTAATTATCTCCTATGCAGTCTATTATTCATTTATACATTAGTCTATATCTCTAATTTTGCTCATTATGATACTATTTATTATACACAGCAGATTCCTACATTAATTTTGTCCAGCAATTTTATGAGTTGAACATTGTGTTTATGTCATTCCAGGACACAAGTGTTCTACAGACAACTGGATCTATACTCATCTACTTTGTACAAACAATAACTTGGAACAATAACTTGTTTTATTTATACAGCTAACTATAGAACACCCGGTTTCAGTGTTCATGCTCCAGCTGTGGTCTGTGTAAAGAACAAACAATAGACCTAATTTCAATTTCCATTAGGGTAGCCTAGCATTAAAATAATTGATCATTAATCAATATATAAATAGCATAATAAATCTAGTATACCAATAGTAATAACAGACTATTCATATAGGTATATAAATCTAGCTAATTGTTGTAATGTATGTTCATTCCAGATTTTTGGCTAACTACAACTACCTATTTAATTACACACAATCCTTTTGTAAAAATAGACTCAATTAGAATTACAATTATATTTGTAATTTTAAAGTAACTTCAATTACAAATACTACTTTGATATGTTTTAATTTGAATGAAATAGCGGATGCATCATTGCTCTAAAAAGGGTTGTTCAGGTATCATAGAACATGACTTGCCACAAATTGTGCTAAGTGAGCTAATCAGTACACTCTATATGAGCTTACAAGCAATGCACATAAATGTACATGGCTTTTGGAGTAATTTTAAAATTGGTAAAAATTTTAATTTTGATTGGAGCTACAGAATTTGTACCCAAATATTTTTGTAAATTTTGAAAGGACATCATTAAGACATAGTCACATTGAGAAGTAAGATGCAAGGTGTATTTTGCTGGATATTTCTAAAAATTAGACAAAGGAAATTTGATGTTGATTTAGTGAAATATGACATGAAAATAATTCTTGTAACAGATGTGCAACAGATGTACAATGATACCATGATATTCAGTAAACAAATTTAAGGAATCAATAATCTAAAAACTGAATTTAAAAGGGCTATATACATGAGATTATGTAAAATAAAATATATATGCACCATATCTTACATCTCAAGGTGTTGAACATAAATAAATCCAAAATGTTTTAACTTTAATATAGAGAAACAGACCTATTTGTTTACATCAAAATTGCATGCAATTGATAGTTTGAATTGATCATAAATTCCCTATGGTGTGAGGGAATGAGCCCCTTTCTTTCGTAGCTGCAACAATTATCATCCCACCCTCAGTTGTCAACTGTAGATAAACTAGAAACAAAAAATTTAAAAAATTATTTAGTGTAGGGTTGAGCCTCTGTTGGATTTGAACCTATGAAATGAATTCAAACAAGCCCCTGTAGGGTTGCTGGTTTAAAAGTATAAAATGAATTCAAACAAGCC